TGATGGGTGAGGCACAGAGTAGGGTTTCTGTTGTGAGATCTGATGAGGTAGATAAACATCTACAAAATGTTTCTATGATTGAGGTCTCTGAGGTTTGAGGGTACTGTTGAGACTAGAGAAGCAAAGGATTGGTTGAGGCTCGAGAAGACATTTGACGGTATGTTGTATCCTCCAGAGGAAAATATCGTTAACAGTCTTTCTATTAGATAGTGATGCAAAGCGTTAGTGGATGGGTCAGTAGGAGAAATTTCAAGAGAAATTAATTCTCTAATTACCTGGGAGGAGTTCTCTGATGTCTTTCGAGCCTGGTTTGTACCAACTTCTACATGTTAACAGATGCATCAGACCTTTTTGAAACTGATTCAAGGGAGCAGGACAGGTGTGAGATTTGTACTAATCATCAGAGTTTAAAATATATATTTACTTAGAAGGATCTGAACCTAAGGCAAATGAGATAGTTTTAGCTTATCAAATATTATGATTTGACTATTCAATATATACCTACAAGGCTAATGTTGTGGCAAACGCTCTTAGCAGGATGTCTTCTTTATTATCATATATACAACTTACTTTTGATGAGTATTCGATATGGGATTTGGAGATATTAGAACTGGTGGTGATTTCTTCTTCTGTTTGGGATTCTGATATGGTAGCTCAAATGAGTATTCAGTCTTTTCTGCAAGAAAAGATTTAGGAATCTCAGAAGTTAGATACAAAGTATTCGAAATTGATTGATAAGATCATATCTGGTATGAAATTTGAATTACAATTTCTGATTCTGGTATTATTTTCTACAAATATACATTGTGTGTTCCTATTTTTGAAGATCTGAGCTGGGAGATTCCATATTGGGCTCACTATTCAGACTATACTATTTATCCATGGAGTAGCAATATGTATGAAGATTTGAAGGGTATGTTTTGGTGTCCTGGATTAAAAAAAGATATAGCAGAGTTTGTTTTGAATTATGAAGCCGGTTAGTTTGTAAAGGCATAGCATCAGCGACCGACTGACCTTTGACTGTTGTTACCTATTTCGGAGTGGAAATAGGAAGAGGAAATGATGGATTTTGCTATGGATTTTTTCTGATCAAGGAAAAGATATTATACTATCTGGGTTATGGTCGATTGACTGACGAAGTCTGCTCATTTTATTATAATCCGACAAACTGATCCAGTAGACAGGTTAATACACATATATCTCAAAGATATTATCAGATTGCACAGTGTAGGTGATTATATCTGATCGAGATTGATAGTTTTACCTCTAGATTATGGAGAGGCATTTAACTTGGATTTAATAAAAAATTAGAAAATTTAGATCGGTTTGTGTGGATTACTGTGTTGTTGAACTCACTGTGATTTTTCTTATGATTTTCAGGATCTGAGAAGGGGAATGAGACTGTTGATTAGCAGTTCAGTATCAGATTTGAGTTTATAGATTTTTTTTTTTTTTTTTTTTTTGTATGATCATGGCTAGTTTATTGTTCAGTTATATAGCTTTTGTTTATAGCTATGTACTATAGTGTTTATATATTTTGATGAAATGAAAGAAATCTTGTGGATGAGTTTTTTTTCAGTATGTGGATTTTTAGTAGCTCTATAGTCTGTAGTATCAACAACAAACAACAACATCAAGCCTTTGTCCCACTATGTGGGGTCGGTTACATGAATCCTTTTTTGTCATTGTGTCCAATTAAAAATCAAATTTTCATTTAAATCTAATAAAAAAATATTATTTCTAATATTTTCTAATCAAGTCTTTTTAGGTCTACATCTGTCTTTCTTAACATAAGTCAATTCTAATACCTCAACTTTCCTAACCGGGTCATCGGAAGGCCTCCATTTGATGTGACCAAGCCATTTAGGGCGACTCTCTCTAATCTTATCTTCCACTGGAGTTACTCCAACATTTTCACGTATATGCTCATAGTCTTTTGTTTATAAAAAAATGAATATTGAAAGAGAATATGAAACATTCCAATATTCAATCTTGGGGTTGCCTATCATAGCTCAATACGATAGGACCTGTATTGTTCGAGTTGGGTTATGACAGTTAGGTCATCCAAACTTAGCGTATCTTGAAATACACTTTCAGTTATTATTTATAAATAAAATTTTAAAAAGTTTCTCATATGAAGTTTGTCAATTCTTAAACATATAAAAAAATTCTTAAATTTGCTTATCCTATAAAAAATCACACTTTCTCCTCGATTCACTTTGCTATGTGGGGCCATCCAAAATTTAAAATTTGATTGAGAATCATTAGTTTAACTTCTTTGTTGATAATCACACTAGTCGTAGGGATATGCCTTATGAATGAGATTTGTCAAATCCTTAAAATTTTCTACTCTATGATTCAAATTCAATTAAAAAAAAGTTTAAAATATGACAATGTAAAATAACACTTTTTCTCTATCCTCAATGATTATCTATAGAGTTAGGAGATAATTCATTAATGCTCTTGTTGACACACCTCAACTATATTATATAGCTCGAAGGAAAAACCGACATCTTCTTGAGACTATCAAGTCAATCATGTTCATTGCACAAGCTCACCAATAGTTATGGGAGGATGTTGTCTTGATAATATGATATCTCATAACTTCAATGGCTTCTCATATGCTTAACTACAAAAGTCCAAATCATGTTCTCCTAAGCTTTATCTAAATGCTAGAATTATGTCTTCATGTAGCCTACCTCACATAGTTAGATACAAGCTTGTTGTTGTTATTTTTGTGTATTTCCTATAAGCATTCAAATGCTCTGCATATGTACATTCTCAAATAATGGTAAACTTAATCCTTAGGCTATCAAATGCATATTCTATCAAATGCATATTCACCAGACTTCACTCGGGCCCTCATAGTGGAGACAGATGCTTTAGGTTATGGACTAGGGGTAGTATTCTTGCAGAATCGTCGACCCATTACCTACTTCAGCCAGGTGTTGACAGCCAGAGTCAAGATGAAATCAATTTATGAGGAGTTGATGGGCATTGTCTTAGCTATCCAAAAGTGGCGACCCTACTTGTTAGGTAGGTATTTTATTGTCAGAATCGACCAGAGCAACCTGAAGTACTTGTTGGAGCAGCAAATGATGACTGGGGAACATCAGAGGTGGCCATCCAAATTGCTGGGGTATGGTTTTGAAATCCAGTACAGGCCAGGAGTGGAGAATAAGGCAGCAGATGCCTTGTCTAGTTGTATGGGGGGGCTGTATACAGTTGCAATATCGATTCCTTTGAGGCTAGATTGGGAGACCATCAAAGAGGAGAGTGCTAGGGATGAGGAGTTGGGAAAGATCATGATAGATTTACTGAGGGAATGGGGTAGCCATCCAGGGTACTCATTGGAGGGGTACAGATTGCTGTATCAGGGGAGGTTGTGATGCCCCGGACCTCAATCCACATTCCACACTTACTCCCGGAGTTTCATGGGAGCGTTGTTGGGGGTCATTCAGGGGTGCAAAAGACATACATGAGGCTAGCCTCAGAGCTATACTGGAAGGGGATGTATAGATATATTGAGGAGATGGTGGCCAGGTGTGAGGTCTATCTGAGGAACAAACACCTGGCTATGTCACCAAGAGGACTACTACAGCCGTTGGCTTTACCGGATCATGGGAGGAGATATCCATAGACTTCATAGATGGGTTGCTCCATTTAGAAGGCTTCACGGTGATTCTGGCATCAAACCTTGACAGATTGAGCAAGTATGCTCATTTCATTCCCCTCCGGCATCCATGCACCGTGGTGACAGTGGCTTCAGCTTTCATCAGAGAGGTGGTTAGATTGCATGGAGTACCATAGGCGATAGTATCAGATAGAGATAAGGTGTTCCTCAATCATTTTTTGAGGGAGTTATTCATATTACACTAGACAGTTCTGAAGAAGAACTCCGCCTACCACCCACAGACGGATGACCAAACAAAAATGGTCAACAGGAGCTTGGAGACTTACCTGAGATGCTTTGTGTCGGAGACACCCAAGCTATGGGCCAAGTGGCTATCATGGGCGAAGTATTGGTACAACACCTATTATCATTCTGCTTCTCAGATGACCCCATTCAAGGTGTTGTATGGAAGAGATCCTCTTCAATTAGTGCACTGTGGGAGTAGCAAAACTCCAATTTATTCAGTGGAAGAATACTTGGAGGAGAGGGACAGAGTGTTATAGGAGTTGAAGAGACATCTACTGAGGGCTCAACAGATTATGAAGAAACATGCTGGTGGGTATAGGAAGGACCCCCAGTTCGAAGTAGGGGAAAGGGTGTTCTTGAAGCTCTGACCATACAGACTGAAGATAGTCGCCAACAGGAGGAATGAGAAGCTTGCTCTAAGGTACTTTGGACCTTATGAAGTATTGGAGAAGATTGGAGCGGTAACATATCGGCTAAAACTACCACCAACGGCGACTATACATATGGTTTTCGATGTATCTCAGTTGAGAAAGGCTATTGGAGATTATACTGTAAAACCCGCAAAACGTCGTTTTAGACCTCGCACGCTTTTCAAAGCGTCGCGACGAGTTTTAAGTGGGAAATTCGAGGATGTCGGGTTTCGATGGAGATAATTTTGAAAAATTAGAGCGCAAAATTCTAGGTCGTGACATATACAGCCAGCTCGGAGTTACCGGTGACTTTTACTGAGGATTTAGAGGTGATTCTGGAACCCTTAGAGTTGATGGGGGTTCGCCAGAAAGAAGATGGAACTAAGGAAGTGTTGATCAAGTGAATCTTCCTGACTACAATGCCACATGGGAGCCATACGAGAGGGTGAAACATCAGTTTCCTAGTTTTCACCTTGAGGACAAGGTGATTCTTTGGGAAGGCGATATTGTTAGGCTGGTTCCTTCTGAACCGGCCCAATCCTCCTCAAATCTTGAACCGGCCCTGGATGGGTCGGTTTTGGTCTATAGGAGGCGAGCTAGTACCGCCTCCTCTTCCTTTGCCGCCCACAATAGCGGGTCCGACTATTCAAATTGAATTCAAAACAAGAAAGGAGGGGGCGGCTAGGGTTTTGGAGGGAGATTTGATTTAGAAGGTTTATGTATTCAATAGCATGAGGTGTTTTAGGGTTAAGGGATTATGCTTTGATTGATTTTTTTTTTCTCTTGAAGTTTCTTTGGCATCTTGGGCTCTAAACTCATCGTCTAGAGATTGGGAGGGAATGATCCTTCTCTCGAATTAAGGATCAATTGTATCTTGCTTTGTGTTTGTTTTTGCTTTGAATCCACTATTTAAATCTATTGTTTTGGATTGATTTCATTGAGATTATCTCATGGTTTCCGCTGTTTTTATAAATTATTGCTAGGATTGCTTGTGAACTCAAGTATTTCCTCTTGGATTACTTGCGAACTTAAGTATTTCCTATCAGAATGATCTCTCTCTGCCCCAGGATCTGGAGAAGTGTTGGCTGCTGTCCTAAACTTTTAGGTGGTGGATTCCAAGGGTGCTGGATTTCAAGGTTTGATGGAAATTCCGAGAACTTTTAAATCAATTCCTGGAGAAAAATAGGCAACTGAAGTAATTCCCAAAGATGTCAGCTTTCATAGCATATTGTTGCTTTCATCTAGCATGCCATTGATCCCTGCTGGGATGTTGTTCGAGTAAAATCCCAAGCAGTTGTTTATATTCAAATGCAAAACTTGTATTACTTCCAAAATAATGGTTGCAAATGTCGTTATTTCATTGCAATGTTTCTAGATTGTCATTTTAACTTGGGTTAAATTAGTCATAATTCTCATGGTGCTAACATGCTAAACTTGCTGACCATGTTTGGCTGCAGAAGGAAGGGGACATTACAGTGATTGAAGTTCAATGTGTTCCTACAGATTTTCATGCTAGATTCAGAGCCCTGGAGCGAACGTAGGTACCACAGAAGAATATTTATAGAACGAATGCATTTTTTTTCATTAAAGGAAAGAAATTAAGTTATTATAAGTTGAGAGTATCTTTGACTGCAACTTCTACCATTGATTTTGTTTGCAACTTGCACCATTTATTTTTTCCTGCAAGCTCAAAATCATGAAGTTCACAAAGCCAGTGAAAAACATCTAAGGTTGGCAGATGGTATCAGAATAGGGCACGCATATAAACCATGAAAACTTCTGTATTTTTTCTCATGACCTTCTTGAAGCTAGGTATTTAAGATTTAAGCAAATGTAATTATTTATCCTTTTGCTTTTATTTCCCATAAAAATGCGACTTTGTAATGGGTGATTCCATTTCTTAGGTAACGAAACAATTTTTTTTGGTCAGTTTGCCCTAGTAAAAGTCTGATGTACATTGTTCAACGTATCATCGTTTCCATTTTCTTCTACATTGATCATTTAACAGAGATTGGCATTACTTGATACTGCAGTTATTTTCTTTGGTTCATTGAATTATTTAAAGCATTCATATTATATATGAATTATGTGCAGAAATCTGATTTTAAAAATCAAGTAAATGGCCATAATGATGCCATTTAGGCCTTTACTATGCACGGAGTCCAATATAGTGCCTGGCCATTTCAAATACTAATCTCTCTCTTTTTCAAAAAAAAAAAGAACTTGAAATTCATATTAGAATTGAAATTTGAAAATTCCACTTTTTCTTTCAGAATTTCAAGTTTAAATTTAAAAATATTTTTTAACATTCAAGTATTTAAAATTTAAATTTTTATTATTTACCTACATTTCCTTTATTTGTAGAGCTTGTTGCTACTAATCTAATTGAGTGGTGGAGATAGGTGGGGTGACCGCTGGAGGTTGAGGCAGAAGGTTTTGGGACTAAAATTGGTGAAGAATATCAAAAATAATTAATTGCCATTAAAAATAACATAAAATTCTGAAGGCATGATTATCACAATCTAGATTGGATTTGTGAAGCAAAAGGGGAAGGAGAAAAAGGTAAAAGAGAAAAATCCTCATGGTTAGGAGATCGGGGGAATTTATCCGTAGGGAGATACCAAATAGTGGCACCATTATTTTGTTTGATCATCAATCATCATAATTATAATTCTTGATTTGCTATATATAAATATTTGTCATAGTCTCATGGACATTTTTACCTAAGAACCATAATACCTCGTCATCTAAAGATGATGTCCTATACATAAAAATTGAGTAAGACTAATTTAATTAACACAAACTCAGGCTTAAAATCTGATAGGTCCAAGTAGATACACAGTGTCACCGTACAGTTTATTTGAATTTAGTAGCTATAACAACATACACAGTGCCACCATGTGTTCAAATACTATGTGGTTTGAACAATATTTTTCTATTTCAGTTGGTTTACATGAAGGATTAGCTTTAAGCCCATATCTTTTTGCTTTAGTAATGAATGTTCTTATTAGACATTTGCAAGAGGTTGTACCTTGGTGCTTTTTGTTGATGATATTCTTCTTGTTGATAAGACTAGAAAGTGTCACGACCCGGCCCGGTTAGCTCGCAAGTGCGAGGCGGGAACAGAGATCGGACATAAAGAAGATAAAAGAATCATTACAAGACAATTAATATAACTCCAAAATGAAACATCAATATAAAGATTTGCGGGTTTTACAGAAAGGTTGTTGATGAAAAAGTTATGGAGGTCAATTCTAGATTCTAGAAGTTTTTTATTTGAGTAGATCTAAAATGGAATACATTTAGTATAGTTTTAGTAGTAATAGATCTAGTGGTGGGATTGTGATATTGAATGATTTAGCCATTAAAAAGATTGCTCGTTTTAGATATCTCGGATCTCTATTGTTCAAAGTGTTGTTGAAATACATGAGAATATTCTTAGTAGAATTCAAGTTGGATGTTTGAAGTGGAGGAATGCATCGGGCTTGTTGTGTTTTAGAAAGTACCCCTCAACTTAAGCAAAAATTATATAATGTTAGTGAGACCTACAATGCTTTATAGTGTAAATTGTTGGCCATTAAAAGAGAAACATAAAATTAAGTTAAATTTTGCAGAGATGAGCATGCTCAGGTAGATGAATGGCTTTACACTTAGAGATAGAGTGTAAAATGAGTATATACATGAAAAGGTTGGAGTAGCTTTAATGGCATATAAGATTAGAGAGCTATCTTAGATGGTTTGGTCACAAAATGTTGGCCTTCCGATAACCCTGCTAGGAGAATAAATGTATTAGATCCGGTCCATGCTAAGAAAGGTAGAGGTAAACCTAAAAAAAAAGTTAGAAAATATTAGAAATGGTCTTATTTTATTAGATTTTATTGAGTATTTTACTTTTAACAAAACAAAATGGAGAAAAAAGATTCATATAGTTGTAAAACTAAAATTAGAGAGGCTTTAAAGAAAATGAAGGGTGGAAAAGCTGTTGGACCTGATGATATTCCAATAGAGGTGTGGAAATGCTTAGGAGATGAAGGAATTTCTTGGCTTACTAAACTTTTTAATACTATTTTGAAGACTAAAAAGATGCCAGATAAGTGGGGAATGAGTGTGTTAATTCCTATTTTTAAGAATAAAGGAAATTCTATAAGATGGTGGTGAGGCCTGCAATGCTTTATGGTGCTGAATGTTGGCCTTTAGAAGAGAAGCATAATACTAAGTTAAGTTTGACAGAGATGAAAATGCTCAGGTGGTTGAGTGGCTTTACCCTTAGAGATAGGATACGAAATGAGCATATACGTGAAAAGGTTGGAGTAGCTCCAGTAGAAGATAAGATTAGAGAGAGTCGCCTTAGATGGTTTGGTCACATAAAACGGCGGCCTTCCGATGACCCGGTTAGGAGAGTAGATGTATTAGATTTGACTTATGTTAAGAAAGGTAGGGGTAGACCTAAAAAGACTTGGTTAGAAAATATTAGGAATGACCTTTCTTTATTAGATTTAAATGAGAATTTGACTTTTAATAGGACACAATGGAGAAAAAGTATTCATGTAGCTGACCCCACGTAGTGGGATAAAGGCTTGATGTTATTGTTGTTGTTATAGTTGACCCCACTTAGTAGGATAAAAAGTTGTTATTGTTGTTGTTGTTGTTGTTGTTGTTGTTGTAACTTCATGCACAACTAAGATATCCTATTGTTTATTTACCATTTTCTTGATCATTCTTCTTTCATTATTGAGTAAAGTATTTCTATTTCATCTTAATTTTGTGTAAGTTTTGATACCATGAAATCTGGGGAAATTAGCCTAGGCAAAGCTGGTTGTCACTTTAGCAATATATCTTACGGTGTTGTAAATTAAAACTTCAGTGGCAGTATTTCATGCTAGAATGAAGCCAAAAAATATAATGAATTTGTTTTTTATAAATCTTGATTTTTTGTATTTTTAATCATTTATTTTTATTTCTGATTCTGATGTATCTGTCTTCATGGCTGTGAAATTTATATTTGAGAAAATTGTCTTTGCTGTGGTCGTTTTTTTAATTATTGTCAGCTGTTAGGCTTTTCTATGGCCTTTGCGTCTATATATATTTGTGGGGATTTCAATGTTTTGGAAGTAGTCAGTTGAAAACATTTAACAGTATTTCAAAGACTGGCTCTGCAAACATTTATCTAACCTCCCAGGTTATTCTCTTGGAAAAAGCTTTTGCAAAATACTTAATGTACGTACGTGAAATGATATTTTGAAAGCACTGGAAATCGCTCAGAAATTTCACTTATTTAGATATCTCTTTGTTTTCTCATATGTGTCACTTGTTGTAAAAAATGGTTTACTTGTAGCTATCATGTCTTTGACGTACGTGTTACTGCAGTCATCTTATTGACCTGCTTGTTTCCAGTATAAAAATTGAAAATCTCCAGTTGTTTTTTAGGGGTTAGCTTGATTGTATTTTAACTATATGTTTTGCATCCTTTCTACTGTGATGCTACTCAAGTAGATGGTTTAATAATTTATCTTGGTTTATAAACTGATTAATCTCATTCCTATGGAGACTACCTTAACGTGACTGTGGACTTAGCCTGAGGGAAGCGCTTGATAATGTATGGTTTGTTTCCTGATTTGAGTGAAAGAAGTGTTAAAAATTATCGAAATTGTGACTATATCTTCATTTAAAAAGTGCCTCCATGAATGAAGTTATCTAACTTCCTTTATCTGTTAGCACTTTAGAAATTAAAAAGGTCACTAGGTAAGCTAAGCAATTACACCTCCCATTATTAAGTCTTCAACATCAGTTTCAACTTTAACCCAACTACTTAGGCTTGGCTTCATGAATCCTCAATTCTATTGAGCGTGGTTGCATATAGTATTAAACCTATTTTCAAGTAACAAATATTTTTGCACAACTTCTATTCATGTCACCATTGGTTTACTCTTCTTTCTTTCTAATCCCTGAAAATTAATTTTATCTATTTTTTTATGAGTGAAGCATAATATTAAGTTAAGTGTTGCAGATATGGGGATGCTCCAGTGGATGAGTGGCTTTTACTCTTAGAGAGAAGATACATAATGAGCATACATGAAAAGGTTAGAATATCTCCAGTGAAAGATAAGATTAGAGAGAGTCACCTTAGATGGTTTGATCACATAAAACAGTGGTCTTCTGATAACTCGGTTAAGAGAGTAGATGTATTAGATTTGACTTATGTTAACGCAGAGTCAAACTTAAAAAAAACATGGTTAAAAAAAAATAGAAATGACCTTTCTTTATTAGATTTTGTTAAAACTAGAGATTTATGAGGGAAAGGCTTGATCTTATTCATTACAATCTTCCCTATTTATAGATCTATACAAGATATCCTAATGAGGAAATAATAAATTACAAATTTAATACATAAATAATACATAACAATCCTTCCTAAATTTGTTCCCTCATTATGGCGTGATCCATGAGAGTATCCCACGGATTGATCTTTGTGTCCGTCGGATCCTTTGCACTGGGAACGACTGGATTTCAACAGCTGGATTTCAACACTCCCCCTCAAGCTGGGGAATATGGATCCGTCATTCCCAGCTTGTCAATCATACGGAGAAAGACAGAACTGTCCAATCCTTTAGTAAGGAAATCTACAAGTTGATCCTTTGATGATACATGGTCAACACTTACTAGACCACTGTCTAGTTTTTCTTTAATAAAATGTCTGTCCACTTCTATGTGCTTGGTCCTGTCATGCTGGATTGGATTGTGGGCTATGCTGATTGCTGACTTGGTGTCACAATGTAGCTTCATGTGCTCATCCCACTTAACCTTTAGATCTTCTAGGATTATTTTGATCCACAGTAGCTCACATATTCCCAAGGCCATAGCTCGATATTCTGCTTCTGCACTAGATCTTGCCACCACATTCTGTTTCTTGCTTCTCCATGTAACTAGGTTACCTCCAAGAAATGTGCAATACCCAGAGGTAGATCTTCTATCAACCGGTGATCCTGCGTAGTCAGCATCCGTGTATACTTCTAGGGTCATTCCATGATCTCTCTTAAAGAGAATTCCTTTTCCTGGTCTTCCTTTAAGGTAGTGCAATATCCTGTCTACCGCTTGCATGTGAATCTGCTTTGGATTCTGCATAAACTGACTGACCAGGCTTACAGCAAATGCTATGTCTGGTCTAGTGTGGGAGAGGTAGATCAATTTCCCTACAAGTCTCTGGTAGGCCCCTTTATCTACATCTGGATCTTCTTTAGCTTCTCCCAATTTAAGATTAGGTTCTACTGGTGTTGGTGCTGGCTTACAGGCGAGTTTACCTATTTCTCTTAGAAGATCTTTGATGTATTTCTGTTGTTGTTGACCTATATGTAATAACCGAAAGAACAAAAAAATATGCACACCTCGGACTGTTGAAGGATCCCCGAAATCATGCATGAAATCATGCGAGCTGCTCTGATCTACGATCAAATCCCGCAAATCCCGCTGTGCTTGCGTCTCATCCTGGGATTTTTGCGTAAAACCAGCGATGATGGCCTCGATCCCACTCCTATTTGCGCCTATAAGAAGGAGACGAGATCTCTGCTTCGACAACTTCTCCCATTCGCTACTTCTCCTTCACGCACGCAAGATCCCGAGCTCCTCCCTCTCCTATTCACTCCTATGCCGAGATCCGACCTCCTCTGGCCGAGAGAGAGAGAGAGAAAGAGAGAGAGAAAGATCGATACACATACCTATAGCTGACTCCAGCAAACCGAGCATCCTTCCTCCTATCTCTGCGAACCGACCCCGACGGGATCTCCCGAGCTCGTCGACGCCTCCCAGAGAGGCGTACGCCTCACCAGGAATTGCGCAATTTTAAACAGAGACCTGAACAGAATTTAAATGATTTCTAAAGTTCAAATTCAAACAAAATAAAATCCAAAGGGAACGAGAATCAAACTCTAATTCAATAACTGTATGAGCATACTAAAAATATAAATGTTGATCAATAAATTTGATCATGCAATCAAAGATCAGCAAAGGGATGAAAGACCTATGTTGAAGCCTTAGTAAGCATAATTGTTATTTTGCTCACAAGCAACATGAATGTGACAAACAAGGGAAAGTTGGAGTGAGGCAGTTTTGCAAACACTGGCCAATATACCAAACTCCTACGAGCACAACTACAACTCATTCACAAGCAAAAGAAGACTCATGATGTAAAAATCATAAGTTGTGATTCAAACACATGCAAGGAACAAAACTTGAATCACACAAGAGGGAATTCAAACTGCAAGACATCTGTGCGGTCAACAGTGACTCAACGTCAGATGAAATACACTGATCTTAGTAAACAAATGTGACTAAAGCATACTACAAGACCTTAATGTATGCAAACAAAAAATGCAACGAATTCCTACAACATTCCCTACAAATGCCTGTTGATTGAGAAGGCAACACTACTACTAGATAGTCAAAGATCCGTCCTTCATAAACAAATCCAGACATCAAACCACCCGAGATTGGTGTAAGGGTGGATATGATGCAGAAGCAATGGGTCTTCTACAAACATTTTCAAGAGGTCGTGGTGGATACAGCGGTCCCCTGCAAATGTATACTTGTGGATAACAACAGTGTATTGAAAGAACAACGAATCACTGTGGACACAAGTATGAATATCACCTACGACAGAGCACAATGTAGAAAAGAAGAACAAAGTACAACAAACACTAGTCATATGAAAGCCCCTGATTAGGTGGTGGTGGGCTGGAAGTATCCATGAAGTGGAGCAAACTGCTCTTCAAATCATGTCATATCAGCCTCGTACTGCTGCTGTTGCTCCCAGCATGAGGTAGACTCATAAATGTGAGTCTCAAGGTGCATCTCCAATCGGTCAAAGCTCTCGACAAGGGCATCATAAAACTATGGCTTATATGCTTGTGCCGGTGCCAGTTCTGGAGTTGGAAGGTCTTCTCCTTCTTCACCAAACTCTTGCTCCTTGATGGGTTGTGCCCCACAGCGTCTATTACTAAAAAGGTGAAAGGAACTGTCGGTGAAGAAGATAGTGAATATGTCTGTTGGTGTAGGATAAATGAGCTGATATTTAGCATTTAAGACATAGACAATGATGTATCCTGGAGCTATGTTTTGCCTACATCGGACCACTGGATTTCTAATGGATGTCAGGTTATCAATGTATCTAATAATCATTCTAGCTGTATCGAATGTTATCACAAACATGATACCATAGGTACCAACAGATAATATGGGAGTAATGTTTTCTCTATCTCCATCTTTGGGTAATATTGAGATTCTAAGAACATGCTAGATGATGCGGGCATTTTGGATAAGAGGGTTTATAAGGGGCAGGTGTTGATTGAACAGTGCATTTCTACTAACCAGATTAACTTGTGTCTAGTCATAATCCCTCATAGGGCTAATAATGTCGAGTTGTATTCATGTAGTAGAGAGATGTAGGAGTTCCTCAAAATCCTGATAGGTATTATCTGTGGGACGCCTACAGATAAAGGATTGCATAGTGGTAATATCAGCATTTAGTATTTTAGGCATGCGAAGAATTCAAATAACATTTCAAAATTAAAAGGAAAGCAAGGGTAAGGATAAATTATAATGTGGTCTGGTCCCAATGAAAAGATCTAGTACCTGATAGTTCAAAATATCTTAATTTAGAATTCTGTAAGGGTTGATATGTGATGCCTTATACCTATGATATGCTGGCTAGTCTTACACAAATTGGAATCTATCGTCCACACGATTACGAGAGGAACTTCGTACTAATGCTCGGAATCGCTTGCCACCAGCCATGGGGACGCTAAGGATGGATTACAGAGGATAGAAAGCTTGGAGGAGAAGAATTTAAGTGATTAGAATCTTAGAATTTCATCTCCTTGGTCTTTGCCAATTGTACAATACAATGCAAATTGTACAGTGTGATCAGAGGAATTCAATTCGTTCTGCCAAACAATTGAAAAAGGCGGTTAAATCGTACAATATGATTAGAATTGTACTGGGCAATCTTCGTTAAATCTTTTGTCCTGGGGAGTCAGCTTGTATGATCTTTGGCCAAATAGATCATACATTACGAACATACAATAGGATGGTGAATTAAATATTCTACTGGTTGAATTGAATCGCCAACGGTCACTGCCACGTGTATCCTACATCCTTATTGTACGAACATCAATAATTGAGTTTTTTTTTTAACATCAATAATTGAGTTAATTTGAACTATTGGATTGACTAAACAATGCTGATTTGATGATTTGTGTGTCATATATTACGAAGTGAATCATATAGTACGATGTGAACAAAAATAGGATTTTTGAGTGATGATCAAGGAAAGCTCCATAAGAGAAAACATGCATATGACAATCACCATTCACAACAGAGATAAGTAAATTTGATAAAATAAAACACATAATATAAACGTACAACAAACAAACACACAAATATGTAATAAAAACAGAACAAGCCAACCAACTCACCTCAACTTACACATAATAAAACACATAATATAAACATACAAATAATAAATTACCTGTTTTCATCTGCACGTCGCCTTCTGTAAACAAAGTCTTCTTTTTCAACCATTTTTAAATCACTGAAGACTTACCTGAAACATTTAAATTCATGGTTTGAGTTTACTAAGTAAACTCAGTGGGTAATCATTAACAATTAACATATAAATTACAATATAATTAATTTCTTTTGTATGTATTCATTTAACAAATGACATACTTTTCTTTAATTTTTATTCATTTTTTTTTCATACAGTCTTTTATGTACATTATAACATCTTCATTTACATACTTAAAAGATTTACCTTAATATACATTCTTTTTCCCATCTAATTGTACAGGAGCACCGTTTAAATATACCAAAGGTACATCCATTTCCATTTCCATTTCCATTTTCTTTTATCGTGGGCAGGTACATTGCTTCCCCAGCCAATACCATACAGGGGTGACTCATGTACTTTTCATGTATATCCTTTTTCCTTTTGTTTCATTTGATATTATATCATTTTTCCTAACATTTATGTATCTGCATTTTTATATGTATATATGTATCATATATGCATTTCAACTTTACCTTTTATTTTCTTTACATATATTTTCTTTCACATATTTATAAACTTTCATAAAGTATTTCATCAATTTCAACAATACAATTTTTATATCAATTCATGTATTAGAATTTTCAATTGTCTCATCTATAATAGTCTTCAAAAGAAAACATGTATAAAATATAAACATTTATAGGAACTATAAATTTCAGATTTGAAACGAAGATAAATAATACAATTTTATACAAGTATAATTACCCACTTTGAATCTCCCAAGTCCTTGACATAAAGTACAACCTCGAATCTCAAATTTCCTTTTCTTGTTGAATCCTTGGTTGATCAACTTCTATAATCTTGATCTCTCTCTCCAAAATTTCTGAAATTTCACAATATAACTTTCATGAAAGAAATATGATTAATTAATAAAATTTAATTAAAGCTATAACATGGAGAATTTACTTACAAATAGGAATTTTCTCAAAATCCATATATTCTTCTTCCTCCCTCAAATTTACTTTCAAAATAAATGAAAGAGAATTTGAAGCAACAATGAATGTTTTGCCATTACGAGAATTTAACATGATATTGGGAATAGATTGGTTATCAAAACACTTTGTGATTATTGACTGCAACAGGAAAATTGTTAAATTTAATTCCTCGGGAGAAAGAGTTGAAATTCTATGGAGAGAGAGGAATTGCTTCAATGATAATCACTTATATGAAAACATACAAATTTATATCCAAAGGATGTCAGTGTTTTCTTGCTCAAGTAAATGATACAAATAAGGAAGTTAAAGAATTGAAAGATATACCTGTAATCAAAGAATATCTATAGGTATTTTTGGATGATTTGTCAGGATTATCATCAGAAAGAGAAATAGATTTCACTATTGAGTTGATACCGGGTTTAGAACCAGTGGCAAGGGCACCTTACAGAATGACAGTTAAAGAGTTACATGAGCTGAAAAGTTAGTTACAGGAATTGATAGATAAGGGATTTATCAGGCCAAGTTCCTCATCATGGGGAGCTCCAGTACTATTTGGAAAGAAAGATGGAAGCTTCAGAATGTGCATAGATTATAAGGAACTGAATAAGCTTACTGTTAAGAATAAATATCCTTTGCCCAGAATAGATGATCTTTTTGACCAACTAAGAGCTACAGTTTTCTCAAAAATTGATTTGAGATCTGGATACCATCAGCTATGGATTAAGGAGGAAGATATAGCAAATACAGCTTTCAGAATCAGATATGATCACTTTGAGTTTGTAGCGATGACTTTTGGAGTGACAAATGCACCAGCTATATTTATGAATTTGATTAACAGAGTTTTTAAGCCATTTCTAGACATATTTGTAATTGTGTTTATTGATGATATCCTGATTTATTCAAGAGATGAAGAAAGCCATTCCAGTCATCTGCAGGCAGTGTTGCAAACACTTAAGGAGAATCAGTTATATGCAAAATTTTCAAAGTGTGAATTTTGGTTGAACAGTATAACTTTCCTTGGACATGTGATCAGTAGTGAAGGTATTTCAGTTGATCAGAATAAAATTCAAGCTATTTCAGATTGGCCACAACCAACAATAGTTACAGAGGTGAGAAGTTTTCTGGGTCTTACGGGTTATAACAGGAGGTTCGTAAAGGGATTTTCTCAGATTGCAATGCGGTTATTCAGATTAACTCAGAAAGCATTAAAATTTGAATGGAGTGGTGAGTGTGAAGAAGCTTTCCAGAAGTTAAAGAATTGTCTAATGACTGCCTCAATTTTGATAATTCCATCAGGTTCAGAAGGGTTTCAAATTTTTTGTGATGCTTTCTTAAGGGGACCTAGATGTGTATTGATGCAGCATGGTAGAGTGGTGGCTTATGCTTCATGGAAACTAATAATTCATGAAAGGAATTACCCCACTCATGATTTAGAATTGGCAGCTGTAATTTTTGCACTAAAAATATGGAGACGTTATTTATACGGAGTTAGATGTGAAGTGTTTACGGATCATAAAAGTCTCAAATATATTTTCAATCAAAAAGAACTTAATTTGAGGTAGAGAATGTGGTTAGAGCTTATTAAAGATTATGACTTTGACATTCAGTATCATCTTGAAAAGGCAAATGTGGTTGCAGATGCACTTAGCAGAAAAGCTCTTGGAAATACAAATTGGTTAATCACCCAACATGAGCATATAATCAGAGATATGGAAAAGTTAGATATTTCAGTGATCAATTAGAAAGAGACTAAAGATATGTTCTTAAATTAGTTGGTGATCAAATCTACTTTGAAAGATAAGATTGCTCAATTCATTGTCTCAAGATGAGAAATTTCAAGACATCATAAAGAAAGTGCAAGCATTGCAGTTAGAGAACTTTGGTATGGATAGAGAATGATTATTAAATTATAAAGGTAGGATCTGTATTACAAATGTTGGAAATTTAAGAGAAGAGATATTGCAGGAAGCTTACCTCTCAACATATGAAATTCATATAGGCAGTATAAAGATGTATCATAAATTGAGAGGGTTATTTATGTGGCCAGGACTAAAGAGAAATATTACAGAATTTGTAGCAAAATGTATTTCCTATCAGATAATCAAAGTAGAATATCAAAAGCCAAGTGGTCAACTACAACCCTTACCTATACCTGAGTGGAAATGGGAGGACATTGTGATGAATTTTGTGGTTAGATTACCCAGGTCAAGATAGAGTCGAGATGCAATATGGGTTGTTATTGACAGATTAACGAAGTCAGCTCATTTCTTGCCTATCAGACAGACAAATTCACTGAAAAAGTTGGCAAAATTATATGTTGACGAAAAGTTTCAGACAGAAATGCTCGATTCATTTCTAAATTATGGAAGAAAAGTCAGGAAGCTATGGGCATACGATTGACTTTTAGTACGTCATTTCATCCTCAGACAGATGGGCAATCAAAAAGGATAATTTAGACTTTGGAGGATTTATTGAGATTATGTGTTTTAGATATTGGAGGAAATTGAGAGACTCACATATCGTTGATTGAATTTGCTTATAATAACAGTTTTCAAGCTAGCATTGGAATGGCACCCTACGGGGCTCTTTATGGAAGAAAATGTAGAACACCCTTGTGTTGGGTAGAAACTGGTGAAAGAATGGTAATTGGAACTAAACTGATAGATGGTGCTACTAGCAAAATCAGATTGATTAGAGAGAGACTAAAAGCAGTTCAAGATAGGCAACGGAAGTATTATGATGCAAAGCACCGACCAGTGCAATTTGAAGTAGGAGAATTCGTTTTCTTGAAAGTCAGCCCAATGAAAGGTGTTTAAAGGTTTGGAAAGATGGGAAAATTGAGCATAAGATTCATAGGTCTCTATGAAATCATCAAAAGGGTTGGAAATATGGCATAAATATTGGATCTACCAGTGCATATGCAAGGAATTCATAATGTGTTTCATATATCAGTACTCCGGAAGTATGTCTCAGATGATTCCAAGAGAATTCAGTCTAAATCAATTGACTTGCAGCCTGATTTAAAATATGTTAAGGAACCTGAACGAATATTGGATTATGATATAAAATAGTTGATGCATAAGACAATACCTTTTGTGAAGATTTTATGGAAGTATGGATCAGAAAAGGATGCCACTTGTGAGAAAGAAGCTGAAATGAAAAGTCAATATCTCCATTTATTCAACTAAGGTATGTTTTCTTTTACTTGATTTAATTTCGGTGACAAAATTTTTAAGGGAGGGAGATTATAAAAACCGGTTTGGTTGGGCCAGTTCAACCGAACCGGCCAACCTTCTAAATAAGACGTGACCCAACAGAGGGTTGGTACGGGGGCTATTCGCGCGAAACAGAGACGGTGGGCGGACGACCGAAATTGCACGAAGGGCTTGGGGAAGATTTCTTTTGCTAATTTCAGCAACCAACGTGTTTGGAGATAAGATTAAACAACTTCTTTTCATTTCTACCATTCAAAGAGTGATAAATTTGGAAGAAGTTGCAACAAGCGGGAGGAACGACGAGGAAATAGGAAAAGGTTTGTTTATCAATTTTTTTATAAATTGTTTTCCATTTCTTTATCTAATAATTAGAAACATCAAATCACTTGACATACACCATTTACATTCATAATAGATCCATTTGGCATTAAAACTTCCAATATTACACTTGTCTCATAAACATTCATCTCAACTGATTTAATAAATTCCTCTGAAATGAAGGAGTGTGAAGCTCCTGTATTAAAATGAATCCGTACAGACTTTCCTTGCATCATTACCATACCTATAAAAGTTACATAAAGAAACATAAACATACATTATTTCTTAAATAATATTTTTATAATACATATTTATTCACTTCTCGTTTTTATCACCAGTAATTACTTTAGGTGAATCCTTAGCATCCTTCTGAGTCAGTGCATATACTCTGGGCAAAGTATTTTGTCGGCTTTGACTTGATCCTGAGGTAGAAGTAGTTGATTCCACTGTTCTTAGTCTTCCAACATTCTTTTGAGATCCAGTATTTATCTTTGACTCTCTTACTGGTCTTTGCCCCAAAGTAGGACAATTCTTGGCTATATGACCCGGTTGATGCAACTGAAGCAAGTATTTGTACCAGATAAACATTTTTCTTTATGCTGTCTTTCACACTTGTTGCAACTGTTCACACTTAAACTGTCACTGCTGCTGGACTTTGTCTTTTTCCAATTAAATTTCTCACATTGTGAAGGAGATTTGTTATGTGAATCCTGAGGGGCTCCCATAATTTCACCATTTTTCCTCTTCTGAAAATCGCATCTCCTTTGAGTATTTTGCATGTCCGCTTCTATCCTCCTAGCCCTTTCCACTGATACTTAATAATCTTCAATTCCAAATGGAACAAGAGGCTGTCTAATTGCATCCTTCAATTCAGCTAAGAATCGGTGGCATTTATC